AAATATTTTGTTATGTTTTTCTGAATAAGAAGAAAACGGAAGCTTGTGTTTATTTTTATAAATGTGTACATACGTAAAGAAAGAACTCATATGCATACATATACATTATATGCATTGAGAAGTGTTCAATGATAAAGCACATATTTTAACGCGTCAGATTTTATTACAAAGTTTTATTTACAAATTCTTAAAAAAAAAAAAAATTGATAGTTGGTTTACACCATTTTTTATTCTCATAATTCGAATTACTATTGAAAAAGCTTCCCAAGAGTATTATACAAAATATGTGAAACAACTTCCTTCCCCAAATATGGTGAAGGTTAAAATCCCCACTTGTTATGGTCTCACATACATATATGCATTTAAGCGTATGCATACGCATCGTGAATTATTGTAAGCAATAAAAAACGTGTACACTTCAGGATAAGATTCAGAAGAAAAGGCAAAATCTAAATATGCAACAACAAATCAATTTAAATAATTAAGAGAAATAAATAAAAGTCCATTTAAATATAAATGAGTCAAGAAACGCACCCTGATACAAGTTTGATTACATGCGTGCAAACCACACGCACACACACATAGAATAATAGATATGCAAAGCATGAGCATGACCAGGGACCACGGAATCGAGCGGAGCGAAGAAAGTTTAAAAATAACATGCAAGCTGCGAAATTGAAAAGAAATTGCTCAGGAAGATGAAGAATATTACATGATAATGAAAACTAAAAGTCGACAGCTTCATAAAGAAAAGGGAAATATATGAAAGAGATATTAAAGGGTTAAAAAAAATATTTTGACCAACAAATAAACAAACGCCCCCAAGCCTCTTATAAAGCTTCGTTCAGTCCACGCTAACATACACTTCAAGCCATCCCCAGCCCAACACTGCTTGCGGTACGGATTTCAGATAGACTTATCATCATTTAGAAAAGTGCTCTGGAACCGATCTAAGCTTCTTTGTCTTGTGTTTAACTAACAGTCCGCAAAGAGCGAAGGCTATGGAAAATGGTTCGAATTATATTTTAAAAACTCTATATATTCATGTAACAAAGAAAACTATATATTAACCCAGATAAAAAATGCTTGTTGATATGTAAAAGGGACGAATAAACATAAATGCAGAAAAGATTCTTTGTTAGGTGATGTAGAAAATACTCGAGGAGCTAATAATATTATAAGACGCAAAGTAGATTTTTTTGTTATAGGATATATGGAAAGGAACCTGTTTCTTAAAAGGAGAAAGAAGCTCTTGGTAAGAGTAATAAGATAATTTGATTGAGGAGCATCCACATGGCCGGAGTCCCAAGAATTGAATGCCGACAAAAAGGACGACAAAATTTTGTTGTCATACAATTGTCAGGTTACTGCATATAAGCATGACGACTGATTCATACGATGGTAAAGACACCTGCAACAAAATAATAGTTCTACCAGCTCCCAGAATAAAAGGGCGAAATATCAAGGCCACGGTTCATTCATGTTTATGTGAGATATATGCGAAAACTTTACTTACAAGGTTCTATTCACAGCAGCCTGTACGGCCAAATCAACAGCGACAGGAGAACTGATGCGAATTGACGAGGGATCAAAGAGCGTAAGCTAGAGGGAAGTAGGGAACCACTTATCATTTTGCATCAATATTGCGTAGACGAAAATCAAAGTCATACACTGTTTGGTATGTCATCTAGAAGAAAAGTTAATATACTGGCCGTTTCAAGAGCAAATTGCTTAGAGAAAAATAATAAACAAAACACAGAAGAGAGCATCATATTACAAAACAAAATAAAACTTTGATTGTTTGTTTGCAGAACATATATAGGACCACTTAGCGCTCTTATGTATATCAAGTTCTTTTAAAATAGGGCGCAATCTAAAATCTCATGTTGCAAGAAAAGAATATGATTTTTAATTTTGGAGCAAACAACAAAAGTTAGATATGTTATCCATAAAAAATCAGTATAACGTCCTATATATATATAGACATAAAATGGAAAATCGGCGCATATATACGCTATACAACAGCAGCCCATCGCGAAGCTACACCGAGGGTGATTGACCTATGTTGCATCACAATCAAGGGCACGTTTTCGGAGTTTTCTAAAGTCAATATGTCTTTAATGGTTCACTATACCGATTTAATAGTTTCCGTAGCCTACTAAGCTCAACGCGGCGTTACTTGAACGTTTTACATACATCGACGTAGATATTAGCTACCAAGCCCAAGAATTATGAGATAGATTTCGTTCAAGAAAGATCAGTCCTAACACGGGGAACAACTTCCACGTTCCGTAAAACGAGGGTAGGTAGAATCATAATCCCAGCAGTGGTTGCAACAGTTTTCTGCTTTAAGTGGGCAGACAGCAATCGCAAAACACACAATTGTGATGCTCGTTTGCTGTGCCTGGACGTGAAACATTTCAATGCAAGAAAATGCTTTCGGAACCAATCACGTCCCAGCTCGCGTTGTATTTAGTTAACCGGGCGCAGATGGAGCCACCTAAGTTCGAATAGAAGACATCATTGTTTTTGAATAATCACTATGACTAATTAAAAAGAAATCGATCTAGGGTCCAAAGGACCGCAAATTTTGATATTTAAAATATGTTGTGAGCGAGGGTGTTCGAGCGAAATTGTTCCAGGACTGTATTAGCCATACGTATTACCTTCACCATTTAGTCGTCCACACTTTCATGTCAACATTCATTTCAGCAAGACAGCAAGGAAGATCAACTGTGATAAGCCTATTGGTACTCAGAAATGATATTTGTAAGACTTGTTCCAGTGGCTTCCACATGGATGTCATACAAGTCTCTTTGCCTCATGTCTAATGGATTAGCTCATAGCTCCTTAATAGACCCTTTATGGTGATAATTTATAACTTTCAAGGAAATATATCAAAGAATACTTGTACGTGTCCATAGTAAACCTTCTAAATCCCTACGAATTGCGGGAGACGGTGATAACCGCTGACGCAAATAAATATTGAAAGGATTCTTGGCGTCTAGAGAGGACGTCTTGATCTTACAATGTATACGTGACATCCCGGCGACATAATATCTTGAGTTCCGCTTAAACGAACGATAAATTGCTTATAAAATTTTGCAAATTTCCTATGGTTTATCTCTTAAGCACTTGAAATAATTATTGCGATTACAACAAGCCCTATTGTTTCAAAATTTTACCTAAAGATATGGATCTTGTTTCATTAAAAGGTCTTAGGCCGAGCTCGACATTCCTTTAAATAAGATTAAGTTGACATTGAGATCTCGTTTAACTTTTTATTAAGAGCACTTTAAAATTTTACAGTTATGCAGGATAGACTGATAAATACCATACTTCGCTTCCCCTACAAAAATTCTTTACTTACCTTCGTCGTAAAAATTGTTACTAGGTGAAGGCTTAATTTTCACGAAAATATTTATGTGTGCGGAAAGGTGCGCAAAAAAAGATCTATGTACTTTAAGCCTACCGCAATGCATTTATATGTCAAACCATTATCTTTCGGAACAACAAATCAACCTTGTTGCTGCTTAAGGACTTGTGTTCTCTGATCGACAGAACGTTTACATAGAAGGAGGTCAAAAAGTAATCTTCTCTGTCCAGAGGGAAGCGTTTTTGGCGCAGAGACGCTAGAAGTTCTTTAATCATCGTTAAAATCTTTTATCAGAAAAATGGCATAATAAAATAAGTACGCATATCTGTCTGCTTTTTATAACAAATCGCAAATTGATAAATTTTCGAAAGATTTGATATTTAAGGTTCAAAATTTGCTGTTAATCCAAAACTTTATTCAATGATGTATGTACAAGATACACTTACGCAATCGTAAGCCTTTCCACGTTAAAAATAGGCTCATACGTACCCAATTGCCTACCGACAGAAAAGCACATTCACTCACTCACTTTTTAGAGCTTGTCTGTCCGTCTTGTTTTCTTGTGTTCATCGCACAAGTCGCAAATGTCAAGAAAATCCAAAGAAAATCATTTTTACTAAAAATATATAAGTAAACGATGAAATAGTAAGGGTACGGCTTTTGATCTGATAAAAATTTTTTTTTATTAAAATTCATACTTGTTTACGAGCGTTTAACTTGTCTAATATTTTTTCTTTATAATTCTTATAGAAAAACTTGCTAAACGTAAATTTTATTTATCATTCATTTTACAGAGTCATACAGTCTGTTATATCTAAACAAAATATTTGAAACAGTTTCTTTTCTTTAAACAGGTGCAAAATGACAGAATTTATATTCGAATATAAATAAATAAAATAAAAATTCCTACAATTGATATTATAACGCTAACTTTAGCGGTGATTGACATGTAAAGACATATGCTTGAAGATAAGACTATCATTACAATCGAATAATCAATTTTCTATAAGAGAGCTGAGACTTGAAAATAATACAAAGATCAAAATAATTATATATATAACGATATAATAATTTTTATATATTTTCATAGAATAAAAAGCAAGACTACGACCTCAAAATCATTTTTTATAAGTGTTTTAATGGTTCAAAGATGCACATCTAGCAACCAACGTATCGAAGTGAAAAGTGTGCGTTAGGTTTTTTATATCAAAATCGTAAGGCGCCAAATACCCTTTGATGACAAAATGAATTTTACCCATTTTATTGTTGCATTGACCTTGTATTCTAGCCTTATAAAATTGTGACACAAAAAGATAAGGGAATTAAGAGCACATATAAATAAAAAAGTTGATGCAAATAATACACATAATCATTGTAAAGCAAGTGCCTGCCATAAGTATATTTACTTATTTTTCATGATCTGAAAGGAGGTCTAAAACATAATACTATTTTTATTATTGCTTTGTTGTTGTTAATGTTATCATCACACAAGAGGCACGTATACATTTTAATGCATTGTGAAAGAATAGTTTGTACAGTTTTTTGCAATTATTTTGATGTCATAAAAATCGGAGGTCGCCAACGAAGATTAGCAGATATATTTGTTATTTCCTTTAGCACTCACCTCCTCTCAGCCAACGGTGCTTCTTCGGAACGTATCTGACGATTCTCGATTTTGTTATTAATTTCAAAATAACTTCTTTTGAATCTTAGCGACGCCTCCTCCTGTTTTTGTAAATTCCTTCCAGTGTTAATATAGACACAATTTGCAAAGTTTATTAAACTCATAAAAATTAGGAAAATCAATACATTTAATGTTAAAAAATGCCGATAAGGGCATATTAATTTATTAAAACATGACAACGAGTTTGAAGCCGGCCTCATCAATGTTGCAGCACGTATAGGTAAAATTGATTTTTCGACTTTTAATTTTTCACTTTTATATCCTATGCTAGTTGTTTTTATTAAATTTTTGGATTTTTCACTTATCTTCTTCCTAGTCCGCTTATTTTCTGAATGTGGCTTTTGTTTTATTTCCATTTCAATTAATTAATTCTCCCGTTTTTTTCGTACAAATGCTCTTGGCTATAATTATTTTTAGAAATTTTATATTTCGATAATAACTCAAGTTGAAATCGCACCCCACTAGTAGAGCAATTTTTCTCGCACAATTCTCCGCAAAAAACAAATCTTTCACTTTTCCGACTTTTCTTTGACTATTTTGATATTTTGGTCATGTTTTTATTTTAATTGCCAATGTTGCCACTATTGATTTATGAAATTTTTCGCATTAGGCGCTTTTAATTTAGGAGGAAATTTGGTATGGTGAAATTGTTATTGTAAGAAATTATGTACGCAAAAGTCAGGAAGGCATTGGCTAATTTCTATTGCAAAATTTTTCGTGGATTTCAGTTTTATTTTTTAAGTCTTCACAATTTCAGTTTCTCTTTAGCTTAACTTTTGTGGGCTTGTGCGCCTAACAAGCGAGCTCGATTTCATTTTATGTTCCTCCTTAGCTATTTACAAGATAAGACGTCTAATATTCGTGCACAGTTGCTTCGTGTATTTTCCATTCGCCCATATATAATCACATTAATGTTACGCTATGGAAATCAAAAGAGTTGGTAACCCTAATCTTGAAATGTCATATGTAGTGAATTACTTCTAAAAGCACACGTGTGTGAATTTGTTTTGTAAAAATTATAATTTCTTAGTAATTTGACCGTTGATAAACTGTTGTAAAAATGCGACGACCAAGAAAAGTAATTATTCTACTAAATTAATATATCTCTCTAATGATGAATGCTTACCTCTATTTTCTTAGTACGAGTCTGGCGAAGCCAAACAGTATATAACCAGGAGAGCTGCTTTACGGAAACTGCAACTATCATTAAATGACTTTCGTCGGTTGTGCATAATTAAGGGCGTATATCCCCGAGAGCCAAAACACAGACGACGTGCCCAAAAAGGCTCTTCTGACATTAAGATTTTATATCATGCAAAAGATATACGCTTTCTCTTACATGAGCCTATAGTTTGGACATTGCGTGACTACAAGGTAAGTGCACCCTTTTGAGAGAAGGAGTAACTAATTGTTCTTTTTTAGATTTTTGCAAAGAAAACAGGCCGTGATCGTGCTATTAAAGACTTTCGTAACTTGAAAAGACGTTTGGCCCAATATCCTGAGCTAAAAATCGATCATATAGTCAAAGAACGTTATCCTACATTTATAGATGCAATCAAGGATTTGGATGATTGTTTGACTTTACTATTTTTATTTAGTACCTTTCCTTCATTACGTCTGATCCCCAGAGACCAGTCTGCTCTCTGCCGTCGTCTTACTATCGAGTTCTTGCATTATATTATAGCTTCAAAATCTTTACGAAAGGTTTTCATCTCGATCAAAGGCTTTTATTTTCAAGCTGACATTAAAGGCCAGAAGGTGACTTGGATCGTACCACACTACTATCCATTTAAACCACACTCTAAGGAGGAAGTAGACTTTAAGGTCATGTCTATCTTTGTAGAGTTCTATTCCATTATGTTAGGCTTTGCAAACTATCGTTTATATCATAGCCAAAATTTGGCGTATCCACCGCAGTTCCCTGTTGGGGTACTTAAAGACTCTGAGGAGACGTTAAATGATGAATCTTCATTCATATCTGATCGCATTGCTGCCTTAAACTTTGAGTTAGAACGCACTGATAAAATAGCTGAAGATGAAGATGATAATGTGATTGATTTAGAGTTGTTAGAGCAGGACGGTGATTCAAGACGCATTTTAAAAATGAAAAAAGAAGCTCAAGAAATAGCTCGTCTGAAATCTCTTTTCAAAGGCTTGAAATTTTTTATCAATCGCGAAGTACCGCGCGAACCGTTAGTCATTTTGCTTCGATCGTTTGGTGCAAGAGTGTCTTGGGATTCAACAGTGTTTTCCGGTGCTACATTTGATGAATCTGATGAAACTATTACTCATCAAATTGTCGATCGACCTAGCCTTAATAAACAGTATATATCGCGTGATTATATACAGCCCCAGTGGGTATTTGATTGTGTGAACAAACGCCAACTGTTGCCCACTAGTAAATACTTCATTGGTGTTGTCCTACCGCCTCACCTGTCACCTTTCGTCGAACCCAATCGGGATGCCTACATACCGCCAGAGGAGATACACGATCCTGCGAATATTGAGGTTCATGAACAGAGTGATGAAGAATCGCCTGAAAACGATGTTGAACCGGTCAATTCTGAAGTTTCACAAAATTTCATGGATTTTCAACTTGAAAAAGCTTATCAGGAGGAAAATGCTGAAGTGGACCAATTTGTTGAAAGTGTACACGAGGAGAAATCTGAAGATGGTATTGAAGAAAACAAGGAGAAGAATTCCAAAGCAAATGAAAAAGAAAAACGACGTTTACATGAAGTAGGTGAAATGTGGCATTAATTTAACGCAATAACAAATATATTTTTTAATTTTTATAGAAAAAGAATATGTCTGTCGAATCTGGTAAGATTTGTAAAGAGGATAAACGTTTGTTGCGAAAAAACAAAATCGATGAACATCGTCTACAAGCTCGTATGGTAAAACCGCGGCATCGAAATTTATTCCGCAAATTGATACGAGAAAAACAAGTGAAGGAAAAGGAAGAGTGGTTACTTAAGAAAAAACGCAGACTAATTGACCAAAAGGATAAAGAAGCAAAAAAAGCATATAAGAAAACTAAGGCATAACATCCTGATTAAAGAAAAATCATTTAAAATCTTAATCTTAAATATGTTACTTGTTTTATTTTTTTTTTTTGTGCAGATAAGCAGGAAGGAAGTTACTTAAAAGATTAGTGAACTAAGATCGCCTGTCAAGTTGATTTAAATGAATTCAAATGACGCCTAGGCGTGGTAAATTCGTTCCGTGTTATATAAATTCTTGTTGTATGAGTCACTTTTATTGTTATACAGATTCTTGAGACGCTCACAGGCTAAAGCGATCAAGCTGCCCTTGCTATAATCGAAATAACTTTAGTTAATACGAGAACTAACGACGTTTTGCGTAAACCTACTTTTACCAGAAGGTGTCATTTTGATTCCGTATTTTTGTCGACTTGCCACGGTCACTGAAATTTGGCCCGAACCCGCCTTGATCGATCAGGTATCCAATGTTGAAGACAAGTTTGCAATCTGCCCACATACAAGCCCACCATAAACGAGAAACTAAGCCAACCTACGAAAAAACGGATAATTTTTTCATATTTTCGTCTATAACTTTCGACCCTGTAAAAATATTTTTGTAAATATAATGCCCGCGCGATAGAAATTTTAAGGTGGATGAAACTTCCGAATAGATTGCCTTGGTCATGAAACTTGTTCATTTGTCATAGTCTGCTCTTTCAAGAAAGGTGCGTGAAGGGCACACTCAGGAAAAGGTAGTTGCTATGTTTATTCGAGAGCGTTCCCAAATAGGAATACGTTAGTGTAACTTCATTGAAATATGCTAATTTCAACCCTTGTACCGTTGCATCGTTCTTTATATAAAAAATTGTTATTCACATTTATAAATTTTTCAGTAACCCATTTTTCGTATAAATAGCGCCAGTGGGCTTATGCTTTTTGGAAGTATTGAGACAGATATCATTTTCTGTGACATCTAAATATGTTCAGTTTTTTCTATAGATCTTGACAAAGAAATTTTGTTGAATAAATAATGCCAAAATTATTAAAATGGAAAAAGTTGCGTTAGCTTATCAATCGTAGCTGAACTTTCAAACTTTCCATAATGATAAAACTTACACAGCACATTCACATTAAGATACGTTCTTATCCGATAAATTAAATACTTAGATTAACAAGAAATGACCATTCTGTCTGAAAGTTTGTCTAACATAAATTTATTGAAAACTAATCGGATTTTATTTTATTTTTGGATTTGTTGAGATTGACAGGACTAAGCTAATAAGGTTAGTTTATAGTTCCACTCAAAAAATTTACTTTTTTGCAATTCAAAAATCGGTGACAGTTGATTACTTTGACTTAAATTAAGCCGCATTTTATTATTGTAGTTTTTTCAAACACAAAAAAATTAAAATGTGTAGTGTTAGTTTATTTTTATTTATTTATTTTTTTTTGGTTTGTTGAATGGAGATGGACTAAACCAATAGATTTGTGGCTTATATGTCCTAGTGTTAGTTTATGGAATTACTCAGTAAGTATGCGATAACATCAACAAAGGATCAACATGTTGTTGATAGCGTTTTTGGATTCATAAAACAATCTGATGACAGGGATACAAATTTTGTTTACATTTATTCGTACTTGTTTGTTTGTTTACATATCGAATCGTCAAAAGATGTTGATTTTGTTGTTGCATCTTGCAATCTTGTATATTTTCCGATTTTGTTAGTGCGTGTGTGTATGTGCATATTTTATTTGCTTACATTCTGAAGAGGTTGTTGCTATTTCTTTTATTTATGACTATTATATATATCTATTATATTTTATAATTATTATTACTGCTATCATTCTCTATATATCTCATATACACACACCTTTGCCCTTTACAATCTTTACTATCATTCAAAAAATTTTAAGCAAAGAATTAAAAACGACGGAAAGACTTTTATTATTAAAAACTTGCATTTACTAAGCCTGCGCGAAACCTCTCTACCGGCTTTTCATGATACAAAATCTCTGTGAATGAATATTAACTATGTTTAGGCAGAATAAAAACTGCATGAAAAATGAGGGCCAAATTGTGTTTTGTATAATTGAACTACATATGGTAAGCAATAAACAAGCATGCAAAATGAAACGAATAGAAAATGATGTAGAATTTCTATTCGGCTATAAAATAGTAAATTAATTTGAATGTTGAAGTGATTGTTTCTAATTTTTTCAAACTTTGCAATTAATAATTTATTTTCAACAGCTGTTTATGTTTTTCCTCTGCAGATGTTTGTTTACAAACGCAACTTTAAAAGAGAGATTTGTTTCAACTTTGCTTGGTTTATGTATATGTTTTTATGCGGCATTATTGTATTAAAAGTAGATAACCGGTTTTAACGTTACCGTTCTTTAATTTTTATTAACATTAACTTTTTAGAAAGAGTCTGCAGAATGGACAAACATTTAGAATATCAAAATTATGAGAAATTTATCAATTCAATTGTTAAAGACTTATGTTATTATAGCATTTAAACAAGTACTTATAGAGTCATTAAAAAAAGGATATCGTGCAAATTATTTTCTATTTTTAATCGGTTTTTTCCCCATTAATATTTCGGTTATAACGTATATATTACCTCTTCAGATTTTAGGCAAAAGTTTTGAAAGATATTTAAATTTCTTGCAAATTCTTGTTAAGTTCCTCTAATTTATTATCAATAGCGTTCTTTAAATCTTTCGCATATTCTTCATTAAGCTGCTCTAATTTTTTGTTTTATCCATTTCGAGCGGTAGTTTATTCTCTAGTTAGTATTTCAGCATTCTGAAGTAATTGACGATGCAACTATCCCAGCGGATAAGGTACAGGATGTGCAGGCGATGGTTCAAGCTGTATATGATCAAAGTAACAACTTTGGATTATGAATTGCAAAAGCATATTTATGATCGTAAGCTGAGTATAAACTCCACTCTATCAATTAATAACCAAAATATAGAAAAGGTCTCCAAATTTGCATACCGTGGATCCATATTACACGAAGATTCAACATACGGGAAATATCATAAAATTTTAACACTTAACTTATTCCTTCATCTCCGTTTCTTGAAATGCTTTGTACGTCCTAGAATCCCGGACATTATAAATAGGTACAATTAAAGCCTTTGAGATGCGGTCTTACCGTAGAATTCTGAATACATCGTGGGCAGATTGTATATCCAATGCTGACGCCCTGAGAAAAATAGACTATGAGTGCGAACTATTAAAACTTATTAAAATGTGAAAAATTTCGTATTTTTCACACATGATACGTGGAAAAAATGTCAACTTCTACAATTGATGGTGGAAGGCCGTATCGAAGTGGAGGCTTGGGTAGACGCTAAATCTCGTGGCTACGTAATTCCAAATTGGGCAGGCCTAAGAACTATAGGTGAAATTATACACACAGCAAAGAGACGAGAAGAGTTTAGGTTTTTAGTTAATAGTATAACTTAGGCAATAACATTATGTAAAAATGAGATTACCTATATGCAGTAATGGATAAGTAGTAAAAAAGAGAGAGTGCGTTTTTTTTTTGTTTTATTTGTATACATGCACGCAGAACCGTAGGATTTGTCAATCCCCATAAAGTATTGTAAAAAGTTCACAAAGTTGGAGTCCCGATCCGAAAGAAGGCATGACGCCTCATTGCGTCATCCCCTAACTTATAAATTTCTACAATTTACATATTAAATTTCTGCCCCGGACGTGGGAATATAAGCGAAGCTTCAATGTGTCAGCAGCCATGTTTGCGATTTTAGCAAACCTTTAAAAGAATTCCCCAGAGTTTTTGCAGGTGGCAGCACGATTTAAAAAAAAAGAAAAACGATAACTTCCAGAAGGCAATCAAATTATACAAATTATTTTTCGGTTTTTATGTAAAGAAATTGATATAAAAATATCGTGAAGTTGATGAACTTGATAAGGAGTGGATTTGTTTCATAAGTCAAATAATGATGGACGTGGCACAAGGCTTAGCTGAGAGTACATCGAACGTGACTTCAAATCCTAAATATTCTAAATTTACGGAGATTAAGTACGAAAATATCAGCTGGGAATCGTGGGAATCGTGTTATTATTGTCCTTGTTTAAAGTTTGCTTGTGTTTCGGACTTTGTAAAGTATGTCATTTTGTTTCTTTATATACATAAGCAATTTATTTTGTTCTCATATCTAGGCATTTACGGGAGCGACATTGTACCCGAGAAGGTGGTTCTTTTGTATGTCGATACGGCTTTAATGGTGTATGTCCGTCTCTACCGTTGGACGGAGTTTCTGATCGAGATTATGATGCTCATGTAAATAAATATCATGTAAATCAAAATTCCCGTGGAATGCCTCCTGAATGGTCCGTATTCTCGGCAGCTCAGAACCTGCCTGCCGTATTAAATGATCCATTACGCGGCAAGCAAGTCAATCTTTTCACTAAAAAATGGGGAGCTGATTTTGTTGAAAAAAGCCATATATCGTCTTCAACGTATTTACCTGAAATTACTTATCGTGACTTTGAAAAGTATATATCAAAAATAGGTAAGCGTTATCGACGGCATGATCATTTTACAATGCAACAGAACTTGAACTTGCATCGTGAAGGCGAATCTTTGGCGTGCAATGGAATTGTATCGACCTCGCCAACTCATGGTGTTAGCTTCGTCGCAGTACCCGAAATATTTTTAAAAGAGACCCTAAATTTGCAAAATGCTTCTACATTTTCGCAAGTATTTCCTGGTATTATGGAAAAATCAAACGGAGAAGAGAGGCGTAAAACTGGTCGTGTAGTTCAAGAAAAATTATCGCATTATTTAGATATTGTAGAGGTTAAAATTGCTCAGCAAGTCTCTCAAAAGTCGGCATCATTTTTTCATGCGATGACCTCCCAAGATGCTATAATGATCGAAATGAAAGAAGCTGCGAGACGTGTCCAAGCATTACGAGCTGCCCTCCAAATGCTTCATAAATCTGTAGTCATAGATACTTTCCGTGTCTTGTGCTTCGCAAAACGCCGCCAAAATTTTGAAGATGTGCTGGATAAATTGTGTCTAATGGCGACTGTTCATAAAACTCAACCGATGTTGCAATTACTTTTAGGGACGCAAGATTATGTGGCTGCGCTGGATTTAATTGGTACCACCCAAGAAATTCTTACTCAAGAACTTAACGGTGTTCACTGCTTCAAACATTTACCTATGCAGTTAGTGGAAATGGAAAAACTAATTGATAAAATGCTAACAAGTGAGTTTGTAAAATACGTAACAGGAGATTTGAATAGGCCGCTAAGTGATATGCTAAAGGAAACAGATAGTACATGTGCAGAGGAGGACAAACTTGTCTGCATCGTAATGGGTCTGCTGCGAAAAAAGAATTTCAGTTTTGTGGATACTTACAAAGAGGAGGCAATCGCAACTATTCGGGCTATAATAAAGCAACAAATAATTGAATTTATATCCACTAGTGAGAGAGAAATATGTCTAACAGGGACGGGAGAGGAGGCGCAAGATCTTTCAATTGCTGAATGGATAAGTCTGTTAGGCAAACTCACTGCAGCATTACTAATCATTTTAGAGCGCGTACAAGCTGTTACATACATAATGGGGCAGACCACTGCAGCGGCAGGTGGAAGCAATCATGGCAACCAATCGATAGGGATAAATAACGAAAAGGCTGTAAATTTAATTGATTCTGAGGCCTTTCTCACAGAATCAGACCGAGCGTGCGTTGATCAAAAGTTAGGCGAATTAATCGATGTGGTATGCCAATATTGTCATAGACGCTGTGCAAATCTTATTGCTCCGCAAAGCTTAGAGAAGGCGACCGCTACCCTCGAAGATATATGTCGCCTTTCATTATTGGTTGAAGAATTTAGCGAAGCTTGTGAAGATATATGCGGGATTTCTGCGGTTCCTTTGAAAATGGCTTTAAAAGATCAAGCAATAAAGTTTGCCAATCGTTTCCATAGTGAACGTAAACATAAGTTGGGGATTTTGCTTGACGCAGAACTTTGGCGGAAAGTTGACATTCCAAATGAGTTTCAGAAGCTAATCGACTTCATTGAAGAAAACGATATTTCTGAGCTCACAGTCGAAAGAAGCTCCACAAGCTTCCTATCTGGCGGAACTTCCTATTGGCATTACGAGGACGCTACTGACATGCCACCGTCTAGTCCGCTGCTATTAGTTGAGTCGGTCCCCTATACCTTGGTGGGTACGGCTCTTTTATTGGTACAAATGTTATGCGAATATTGTCGATATGGCCAGCTTTTACCAATCGTAGCTGGTTATCTATCACGCAATGTTGTCGATTTATTGCGAACATTCAACTCTCGTTCCTGTCAGTTGGTAATCGGAATAGGCGCATTAAGCGTAGCAGGTCTAAAGAGAATTACGAGCGCGAATTTGGCTTTGCTTTCCAGGTCTTTGCACCTTATCTTGTGGTTGTTGCCGAAAATTAAAGCACATTTCGAATCGCTGGACCCTACAAGTGTTGCTGGCTATGAGATAGTCGAAAACGATTATCGCGGACATATTAAAGAAATTGAATACAAAATATACACTATTGTGTACGATTGTGTTGCCTTGGAGCTAAATGATTGGGAATCACGACCGCCAATACCGTCGCAGTCGTTTAGGCAAATATCCCGACATTTAGTTACATTACATAAAACAATTGCACCCATTCTACCTGAAAAACAAATGCAAACGATCTACAGCATTGTGCATCGCAATTTTAAAGATAAATTAAGAGAGAAGTTGCTAGAATTGGGTATTGTAAAAAATGGCGGACCTCAGCAGGGAGTAGTAACATCAGAGTTAACTTTCTATATGGAAACGTTACGGACGTTGAAGGCTCTGCCAGTTGAAGAACTTGACGATGATATATTGGAAAATATTTGGGAGTTTAACTCTTGCCAATAAGGATAGCTTGTTATTTCGTGTATTTTATTTTAATATTCATTTTAGTTACTTTTTTTGTTATTGTGAGACTTATATTTATGTAATTTTTGTTAAAGCATTTTTAATCCTAACTATTTGTTATTCGTTAATTAAGTTAAACACTCCTACTAATTATGACGAACTGTGTGTGAAGTTGGTTAATTTAGAAATGTTAAAAAGAAGACGGAATAATAATAATAATGTCTATCATTCCAATTATGGCAATTGCGATATCAACAAGAATTGAGGGAATCGTTTAACCCACGGCCGTATTTAGTGAATAAAAAGTTTGGTAGTTTCCTTTTGATACATTTTTGACGTTACTTGGCTGCTGTACTTAGTAATAATTATTTTATTTATTTATATATAAATAAATATATACGTATTTATGTATATTTATTTATTTATTCTCTACAACTCATTACCATTTTAAAATAGTAAAACAAAAAATAATTTGGGAAAAATTTAACGCATGATTATATTTAGTTAATAAAACATTAATTAAAGTGAACATTTTGTTATGCATGGTCGGAGAGAGTTTCAAATTTGTGACGTAATTTGGTATCGCGAACAATTTGTTGTAGTTCTTCATCTTTTTGAGCACGCATTTCATCAATAACGCTTTCATAGAAGCCTGGATCTTTACTAGGATTAACTATAGCATGTTCTGAGTTCGCCGATGACATTGAATCGTCATTGAGGGACGGATGTTGTGGAACTTTTGAAGAAAAATTTTCATTTATTTGTTGTAAGTTTTCTAATACTTCACCACGATTGATATCTTCCCAGGAATCTGTTCCGAACCATATAGAAAGAGCATCATTGTAGTCTGTTGTTTGCAGCCGGAATGGACGAGATGTACTACCAAATCCTAGGTATATAATAGTATCACGAAGAGTTTTTACAAACTTTTGTGTTGTACTCGAGTAAAAAAACAAAGCAGCACCGATCAAATGAGCCGTGGAGCGTAGACATCGGCAAACTTGTTTTTTTATTTCGGGTTCTGAAAAAATAAAATAATTTCGAATAAACACTATGCCAAGTAAATATTTGTATATTGCAAAGGTTTCTATAAAGTGTTAGCTGTACGATTGGTGCTACCACGTATTCCAAAGATAATAAAAGTATATAGAAATCTAAGAATATTTTTTCTTTCCTCCTAGGGATGCTTCATTCAATTTATTCAGGGATTACGTTGTGTGATTAATAGATCTTAGTAGGGGAGTTATAACATCCGGTTATAACAACGGTCACTTATAACATCCAACAGATTCATGTAAGCAGTCTGGTTGTCCTTTCTTAATAAGAACAATAAATATATATATATATATATGCGCATTTACTCTTGAAGTCACATCATCAAAATTTTGAAAATGCATTTTTCTATCCAATCTTTTGTTGATGAAAGGTTTGGCTGGTTTAGAATAAGGTCAATTTAATGTTTGGCTCACGGAAGATAAGAAAGTAGTTGAACCTAACTTTATAAGTAAATAATTTTTTTAATAATCGTAGTGGTATGCTTTTAATATTATGTCGATTGCAGAAAAAAGCTATAGCTACACCGACAACAATATTTTCCATGGTGTTAAACGTAATTCATACCGAAATTCATATATAAGTCGTACTTTCCGCCAACGATTACAACTGGAAATGGAATTTTTTCTACCGTCATCGCCGTAGTTTTTTTTGTGATCAGCTTTTCACTATTAGCCGAGAGCTTCGATAAAATATCTCTGAGATGTCCATATGCCTTCTCAATGTCCGCAAACATACAATGAGGCTGAGATAAGTCTATCATAATAATGACAGCAAAAGTGCTCAAATTTTGACCTTTCAGCGTTACTTCTACAAGTTGTTCTGTATTCCTTAACGAGCCCACTTCCCATATATTAAGGACTTGTTTTTGCCCGTATTCACTAGAACGCGAACGTCGACCATATGAAAATTGTAAAGCCAATGTTGGTCGAGGATTCTCATCACGATCAAGAAATTTATTAATAATTGTTGATTTACCAACGCCTCCACTGCCCAATAGCAGTATTGATCGTCCCTTAGATTCACGCTGTTGTTGAAGTTGTCCTAATTGTTTCTCGACTAATTTAAATGCAACATCTTGTATGGTTTCCGATTTCACATGGCTATCATCAGTAATTGTGTTGAACATTTTTTTTTTTTTTTTGTTTTTTTAAAGTAATAAAGAATTTTGAAACAATTTCATATTCTATAAAGTTTTTGCAATGTTAATATAGTGATGAAAGAATTATTTTGATTTGACTAACGCGTTACTAAGCTACTAATTTTAATATAGAGGTCATTGCGTCTGACTTAAACTGAACAAATAGAAGACATCCCCTGAGTGATGGTTCACTTAAAAAATTTCTTTTTTTTTTTTAAAGGATATGAAAATTCTTTTATTGTCGATATGTATTCATGGCGTTTTTATATAAAAATAATTTCATGTAAATGACTACTTGTCGAATTTTGTAAAAATTCAAACATGGAACACCAATTCTTGCTATTTTTCACAAAAATTTTGCTCTCATTTCACTCATTGAGAGTCGATGATTTATTGAAGTAAGCCAATGCTCCAACATAATTCTAAACTAAAAAGTCCAATGCAGTTATATCGCATGATTTTTGTGGAAAGCTCCCATAAGCATTTTTGGGGAATACATGCAGTGATACACTGATGGTGCCACGAGATGGCTAGCATTTGAACCATTTTGTTAAAACCACATATCATGCAAGGCGGAATTATCTAATTTGTGCCACAAAAAATCGGCAGTCATGATTCTCTGGCGTTTTTCACTGCGGGTAATTGCAATGCCATTTTCATGTTCAAAAATGAGGTTTTTAGCCCACAAACCACACTTATAAGTTAATTTTTGTGCTTGCACCGGTCTCGTAGGAACATGAAATGTTTTTTTCTATACGTTAAGTAATCCTTATTTACGAAGTCATCGTACCAAAGTGGAGGTTCATCCTACATTTGCGAAACATGATCGTAGGTTCACTGTTTTCATAATAAGTTTTATTAATTTCGCTATGCTGTAGAACTATACATGTATTGTATACCATAAATAATGGTAAGGTACTTTCTCACCTCTTTTTTACGCGGTTCTTTTTATCCGATTTTGAAATAACACGTTTCATCAATATGAACAAATTCACTTTTTTACACGAATTTTTTTGTCCCAAAACCCAAAAAAAAAAAAAAATTTGTTTTTTAATTCTAATTTTGGGCCTATCAGTAAATTGGCTTCTTTATCTCTACAAATGAAAACGAACACGAATACGGTTTTATGCAAATTTATTATTACAACTTAATGGAGGATAGAGGATGGAATTTATTCAATTCTCTTATTTCATATTAAATTACATCATTCTAAAGATAGTAATTTTAGTGTTAGTAGGATAGTGTTTCTGATTCAAAATAAACCTATGACATCGTAACATGTTTATGAGAAAACACTAAAACGTCTAATTGTAGCTATTCGTGCTGATTAAGTCGATGCATTTTTCTATATGTTACAAGCTTTCGAGTTAGCTTAATACAGCTTAATTTATAACCCTTATGTTGGATATAATAAAGGATGTTTATGCATTATATGCGCATGCAGGGCGGGAGGCATGAAAAAAGCGTTTAAATGCATTGGCAATACTGTACAGTTAAAAATTTAATGGAAGCTTTTTATTTCGAAGTAAGTAATTTATATATGAAATGTGTCGAAAATTTCGATTATTTCGCACTTGTAAGTTGACTTTGCGAATTTTTTTGAAAACTTTATTTGTAATTGATAGAGAGAAGAACATGTGAAATCAGTTGCAAAGTTTCGTTTACTAGATAGAGAGTGCGTTTCTTAAACAGTAAATAGAAAGTTTTTTTTTTGTTTTTCTTTTAACAGTTAATAGAGAAATGAAGTTAAATGTAAAACACATAAAAGGGAATTTATTATAAGAAATTGAAACGATGTTAACAATTAGAAAATAATAATGCGATATCTATGAAGAAAGTGATAAATGCAAAAATAGAAAAAAAACGAAGAAAAAAACAAAAAAAAAAAAAAAAAAAAATTTACGCGAAATGGTACATGCATTGAATTACATTAGCTACTCCCATCCTTAATTACATTAACTTTATATGGATTTAGACGTAAATGTATGTGAGCGTTATTTAGTTGCACTATATATTAAATCATCATATTTCGTACGGCATTAATGCATATAATAATATAAGCGTAGAATATTTGGCAAAAATATGAAAAGGATGACATAAATCATTATTAGCGTTTCGGTTATATGGGTCAACGCTACGCGGGACTATCTACATATATATGTACATGTTATTACCCAAAAAATAAAGGAAATCGATTTTTCCTTATTTACTATTTATTCAAATGATGAAACCCACATTCACACACACGCAAATAGGAATAGGTGCGAATTCTTTTATATATGCGCGTAAATTTAATATTTGCATATAATTTTACTACGTTTATAAAGCATTTTTTTTTTTTTCTTTTTGTCTTTCATTTATATTCATTTTTGTGTCTTTTTCTCAAACCTTGTTAAATGTTTTCGCACTCTATCGCTTAAATACTGATAGAGACGTACAATGTTTTGTCTAAAGGAAAACAAGCACTCGCGTTTTGGAGTAGCTATTGCGTGGGAAAAATGTGCAAAGACCGCTTTTGTTTGTTGTGGGCGTGTTAAGCAATCAATGACGATTGCGACTTCACTTCACTTCAAGAAATATTAGTATAAATTTGGAAAATATTGTTAAAAATTGCAAGTGATTTTCGTTTAATAGCAACTACGGGCCCATTCATGCATGGCTTACGATCAATTTTAATTTTGATGAATAGAATCGATCGGGAAATGTATGTTTTGGTTTCATCTCTTTCCTAGTGTCTTTTTTTTTATCTTGTGGGAATGCCGCTTGTGACTGTGTGACAAGCGAACAAATTGTTGTATGCAAATCGCTGTTACTAACATACTTATATATTCGGTGATACATATCAACGGAAAGGTAAAACTAGCATACTTCTGTCTGTCTATGTTGACCAGTGTTTATTGTTTTGTTTCAATTATATCTTTGAACCTGGTTCGAAGATAAGACCAAAGCAGTTTAGCGTTTAATTGCACTTTATTTTAACAAAATGTACACAGTCCCAGAAGTATTTCTATATCGTGAAAAGGACGGGTTAAAATAAAAAAAAGTGTGAGGTGTGGTTTGAGTAAATAAAGTCAAGGTTTATTATCTAATAACAAGAAAGTTTAATTCAAAAAGCGGTTCGACTCGAAAAAATAATATAAGAAGAATAGTAGAAGTTTGCATTCTCTTGGGTTATTTTAGTAGACTTTTGCCAACTATTTTTTTGGTTCGAAATATCAAAAGGGAAAATGCAAAATCCTAATTGAGTTTAAGTCGCGATAATATGTAAGTATAAACGATATTAGAGATCGATCATTCGGAACTAACAATTGTGCAAATGACAAGTGAAAACATGAAACTTGGCCAACCCTTAAATACGTTGCGTCACTTTGCATAACATAATTATTCATACAATCACTTTTCAAAGCAAGCTGTTGTATGGGAAGTAGTCGAAAGAGTGAACCGATCCAAATCATTTTCAATAGCGTTCGATGTACCATCTTTCATCAAAATATCCTAAAAGTTGGGGCAGATACGTTAAACAGAAGAAATCAAGACGGACGGACAGATAAGCTTAGATCGATTCCAAAAGTGATTCCGAATCGATCGTTAGAATAAAAATTTGATCTACGACCCTGTACTACAGCTGAAGTAGAGCATAAAAATGCAATCATCTGGATTAGGCTTAGTTGTGACAATTGAAATTCGCTACTAGTTTTATGATTAGAACTTCTTTGTTGTTAATGAAGCAAATTTTTCTTTGCTCAAATGTTAATGTAGATGATTTTTTGCTTTATTCTTCTTCATAATAAAGAGAACTCCTCAGATGTATGTGCACTTTTTGCCCTTAATTGTATTTATAATCTTATAACGGTACTTAAAGCTATCATTCTTCTCAACGTATTATACGCCTACGATTGCAAATGATGACTACCAAAAAAAAAAAAAAAAACAAAAAAAATAAATAAATAAATAAAGAAAGAGAATCATATTTTCGGCATAGTATGAGATGTCATTTATGTGGGTTGAAGTAAGAGAATTTTTCAATAAAGTATGATTTTTACTTTGCTAACTAACTGAGCAGCAAATGTAACTCATTTGACTTTTGTCTCTTTAAGGATGGAAATCACCGTGAAATTGTTAGAAAATCATTTTGTTTTTCATTTTAAACACAATTATCAACTAGCAAATGTTAAGCGTACCTTTCTCGGAGCATGTCATTTTAAAAACGACATTTATTATTATAACTCCAGCAATTTTGATTCTCTTTTCACACTGAATGACATTTTTTTCTTTTTAATTCAAAAGTCGATCAGTTACATTGTGCGCAGCAGAACTTCTTGCTTTAAAGATTCGATAACGGCTTCAGTATTGCCATTTTTGAATATTTTACAAAAGTGTTTTTTTTTTAGTACTTAACTATATGTTATTATTCTATTACTTTACATATCGCTTTGAAAAAAAAGTCAAATAAACTGTTGCACTGATTTCCCCGTTAATGCGATTTTAAAAATAAGAACAGAATTCAATATCTGTTCAAAAAAGTAGAGAACGAAAAGTTATCCGTTTTTGTCTGCAATGAAATTGATGTCCAAAGAAAAAGGAAGAATCTTGTTGTCGAGAAACTAGATGCGGCTCACAAAACGAATGTGAAACATTAACGTGGCGTTAGATTTCCCAGACCATGCCCACTTTTGAATAAGTCATCCGGATATAAGATATTTAAAATCATATCATTGTAAAAGTCGAAAGAATGTCTCATAGACAATTGTAGAGATCGCAAGATGGAACGAGGATCGCTTTGTATATATATATCGCTGTGTATAATGTATCGTAGATGAACATATTTTAAAAGGTATGTTTCTATAAAGATACAATCTTCTAGATAGTCTCACAAACTCATCTATGTATCTCATTCTATGTATGGCGTTTTCCAATTTGAGGACGAGCTCCTAAAGAGACTTAAGCGGTTTTTTAAATTGATATACGGTTTTCCATAAGGCAAGAAT